TTAAAGTCTTGCTTCTTTAGATGCCCAGGCATATTGCTTAGTATAATGTTAGGTTACTACAGTGTTTTGATGGATTAATTATTTAATTATGGATCATCGTGTGGTTGCAACATGAGTGAAGACTCTGGGAAAGTCAACTGATCATAACTTTAATTGGCAGAGATGAATAATTAAAGATGCCTGAGAATGGGGTGATTTTGAAATATAAATGCAGGGGGCTGGCTGGCTTTTTAATTGGATTTATCTGCAAAGAATTAGCAATATGAGGTAAAGGCTCATATTGGTCACTGCAGAAGTTATTCAGGATGTGTTTCTCAAATTATGGGGCAGGAGGGTGAAGGACAGAAACTCACACCTCCATTTTTAGCTGTGGAACTGTGATTTACAATACTGTTATTCCTTGTGCCTTCAGCTAACATGCAAATCATACTGAGGGGACTGTGACCATGACAGAAGAAATAGTGGAATCGTGGAAGGGAAGGTGAAAAGGTTTTGTTGGGTAGGTGTAGCCCACAGTCCTGCAATGAAGCTGTAATGAAACTTGTTCGTTTGGGCAGGCCTCCAACCTATTCAGGAAGAAGGAATAGCAATTCTTGTAACACGCTATGACACACTATGACACATATCTGGCGACTCAACAAATCAAATGCAGCTTCGCTCCTCAAGCCTAGATGGATTGGTCTCACTTCTGATGCCAGAGTTGTTCGAAATGAGGTAGGCTATTTTGTACCTCAATGTGTTGTAGGAACCACTTACTTGAAATGTTGGGTGAATCAGACCATCAGGTTAAGCAGCAACATTGCCCCTTTGTTGAGCACAGCATATTATGTGAACAGAGCAACTGTGTTTTCTTAACCAGGGTTTAGATTAAATGGGCTGTGTGACCCTAGCCACACACTTAAACAGATCAGAAAAAGATGCATGCAATATAACTGTGCAATATAACCTTTGCTAGTATTAACCATAGTTAGATTTTTGTGATTCAGTGTGTTCTGCAAACCTAACTTGTGTGGTTTATAACCCAATAGGTTAATTCAGTGACCACATTAGGATAAGCATGTTGTGTGAACACAGTCTATCACATATCCTGTAAATTGAGAAACACACTTGGTTTCATTGATTCAGTAATCTAAATGCATCTTTCCAGTTGTATGAGTCCATGAAAAAAGAATAGCAGGGTTTTATAAAATAGGTCACAAGTATAAGCCCAATAGATGAATAGTACAACTTTCTATGTGCCTCTTCAGACATACTGTAAGTCTCACTCATTTTAATGGGACCTTTTCCCAGGTAACAAGGCACAGGGGTACAGCCTAGCGGGAGTAAATTCTATTTAATTCAGTGGGACTTCTGATAAGTATGCATATGATTGTATGGGAAAAATGTACTCCAAAAGCAGATAGCTTATCAGGAATCAACACCATTGAACTGAATGGGATTTACTTCTGAGTTACACTGCTTAGAATTCCTTAACCCATTCAGTGCGGGGCCTTTGGGGAGGGTCTTCCTGGCCCCCATACATGAGATCCCCTCCCATTCAAAGTATAATGCAGTATCTGAAATGACGAGATTAATCCTTTTTATTCAAGGTAGTGAAGTTAGCCAGTTAAAACCATAGGATGAAGAATTCCAGGACACACCTAACTGACCTTGGTAGAAGGAAATCACTAGGAAATCCCAGGGCTGTAGATTAGATTGGGAAGTCAGAGAAACATCTTAGAAAAAGGGAATGAAATCTACTTCCATATTGTTGCCACAAAAACTATATGGGTGTCTCTGTGAAATAACCAGCATTCAAACTCACTTGGCAGAAACTTTATTTTGGGTTTTCCCATGCACTTCATTTACTGAGCCATTAGTCCTGTTGTTTGATTTGCAAATGTAATCAACACATGGCCCATTAAGTCACTGTCTTGTTTCAGTTTGCCTAGTTGGAAAATGTGACAGTTTAATCAACATTCCTTCTCCTCTCAGAGAAGAATACTTACTGACTCAGTTAAAGCTCTGGATGGGCAGAGTTAACTACTCTTCTTTCAAAATAACATGAATGTACAATTTGAAAACTATTGATCAAAGGAGGACCCTCTTTTCCCCTTGCAGTGGAATAGTCCTTCCATTAAACACACCATAGAAACCCAATTTGTGGATGCTGGCAGGTCCATTACCAGCTAGACTTTGTGCTGTGGAAGGGGTAGAGGCTATTCCCACAGCTGGTAATTCCCCCCCCCATGTCAAACTAAATGAAATTAATTATTCCAGTAATTTAGCAACAAAAATAATAACTGGTTGTTTCATCTCACTCCATCTCACACATTTGTTGTCATATATATAAAAAGTAGGCTAGGAATCGGAGTGATGACAACCCTGTAATTATCTCTGCTTGCAATTTCTTCTGACACACTCAGTTTTAGATGAAATAAATGAGTTTTAGTTCAGGAAAGCTGTTGTTGCAGCAAATATTTTCATTTTTAAGGGGACCAAAATTCTCTACTGCATTTGTTGCAATACAGTCCTTTGGAAAATCATATTTGGCATCTGGTTGGTCAACACCCTTTGCTTATGTTGAATTGGGTAACAGGAGAATGGGAAGCAAGCCTCTCAAGAAGAACAAACATGAATACTGGTTCTGGTTAGTCTTTTTGGACCTATTGACTTCACTACTGTTGTGGCCAATGAATGGAGTTTTATTTAAAAAAAATCTTATGCAGCAGCAAACTTCATAATCAGCCACCATAATAAGACAACTAAAAGCCTAAAGGTGTGAAGGTTGAGCTTGACTCCTGGTAACTTATGGGGATACATCCATGCAGTTTTCTTGAAAGTGGTATGGAAATGGCTAGCCTTCAGGATTTTCTTTTTACTTCCAAATCTAGTTAACTTCCCAGATGGACCCTATCTAAGTACTAACCAGGGCCAACCTTGTTTAGCTTCCTAGATTGGCCAAGGTTGGCTAGGTGCTGCCACCTATTTGGGTATAACATCCCAAGGAGCCCAACAGATTCCAAAAGGGGTAAATAGAAGCACCATAAATTCCACAATGTCTTTATAGCAGGTGAAATAACCAACTGAAACTAAAAGAGATGCCCAGAAGAAGCCATCAAGAAGGACCTAAAACTTAAATCATTGTTTTCACTGCCAGTTTCAGAAGACATATCAGCAGACTCAGAAGAAGACTCTAAAGATCCACTATAGTTAATCATCTATCAAAATCAGGTCTGTCCTTCTGGTCCAGGACTCACTAATTCTGAAATCAATGAGCTATCTACCATAGAAGCAGAACATGTCCTCTTCATTCTACATTATGAGAGATGAAGTTTCTGCCAGGTGCTTTCAGAAATTACAGAATGAATTCAAAATATAGACTTCAGCAGAGTTTTCAATATTTCAAGAATACTGATGGAAAATTTGAGGCTATCCAAAATCAGTGTGTTATTTGGCATTGCCTGCATGTATATGAATATTATAAAATGGAGAGACACATAGTCTGAAGAGGCTATTACATTTTGTATAAACAGGAAATATTTTCTGCTTTGCCTGTGAATTCTGTCACTCATCCACAACATGTTATTTGGTGGAAGGAGGATTTTCAGATTGGGAGCAATACAAAGAAAAGAAAATCACAGAGCAAGAAAAAACATAACCAGCATCAAAAGTTATGGTCTGTTTTTTTTTTTTTTTTAAATCAGAGAATGTTGTTAAAGAGAATCAGACTTGAGGATCATTTTCAATGCCACTTTACCTTGGATCAAAGGAATTTACTATCTAATTTAATTCATTTTGTGAGCAGTTCCCAAGAAAACATGAAAATAAAAGAAATGAAAGAATGGGCCAACATTTCCTCAGAGGTTTGCAATAAGATGATTGAGTTAATAGAGAATGAAGCTTGTATGAAAATCATTCCAGAGATTAAGGAAGCTCAGTATTTTTCCATTATTGTTGCTTTTACATATGATATTTCTCACATAGATGTATGGTACATTCTTTGTAATAGTGCCTCAATAGCAAAATGAAAAAGCAGGCAGAGTAGGTGTGCTCCCTCAATTTAAATGTAGCCATCTTGTGGGACCAAGAAAGCGTGCCTTCTCTGTCACAGACCCTACCCTCTGGAACAATATCCCCCTGGAGATATGCAGAGCTCCCACTCTCCAAGGATTTCAGAAGGCTCTTAAGACTTGCTCAGTTCTCAGGCCTGGGGTTAGGCGTTTTAGTTTGGGCAGTCATGTGGTTTTAGTTGTGTTTTTAATGTACAAGTAGGTTGTGATTAGTGCAAGTTTGAAGAATGTGATATTTGATTTAGTGGAAATTGTAATTCAGTTAATGTGAGGCTAGTGAGTGCGCAAATGAGGCTAGTGCATGCACAGTTGTGGTTGGGGTTTTTGACGCTGCTAATCTTTGTGTACGCAAAATGGAGAAAAGGAAGACTTTCAAGTTCAAAAAGAAGAGGCTTGTTTTTACATTAGAGCAAAACTTTGATGTAATTGAACAGCATGAACATGGTCACAGGAACGCTAAAACAGGCCGAGATGTTGGAATGCCTGACTCTACGATGTAATTTTTTGGTTCTTATTTTGTTTTCTCTAACAACTCTGTGACTTTCTTAATCATAAATTTAAATTATAGTATGTCTTTTTATCATTTACGGTAATATTTCTTTAATATATATCTAAAAATTTATGTTTAAAAATTTTCATTGCCTATTTCCATTGAGCTGGAACCAATTACCATATTTTCCATAGAAATATCACTTCGAATAGTGCAAATTTGAATAATGTGACCATTTTGTGGGATTCATTAACTGCACGAATCAAGACCTACCTGTATATGTTGGACATATTGTAAACTGTCCGGAGCCTTCTTAACAAATCCAACTAATTAATTCATTAATTTCTGGGGCTTTCCCAGTAATGAAAACTTGTGTGAAATTATCAGCATTCTTCCAAAGAAAAATTGCAAGGAATATAGCTGTCTGGAAACAGGGACTGCATTTGTGTGGAATGATAGCTTTTTGGCGGTAAAGTTCTTTGAGGTGCAACTTTCTATTCAGCACCTATCCATGGATGGAGCAACTTCAAGAGGATATTGAACAGTGGCCCAAAACTGTCATCAACAAAACCACCACCAATTTTTCCCTAAAAAAACCCTATCTAAATCAAGATGGTCCTGTTATGACTACATTTCGATGAGGATTATGAGTCATTTCAAAGAAAAGGTGGGGGTGAAGTCAGAAGCAACCTCTGGTAAAAAACGCTGAAGACATTTGGAATAGCTTTTATGGTAATATTCTGTTCTACAGACACTCATATATTTGATCGTGTTAATAAAATTCTACAAAAACCAAGCCTTGTTATGTCAGGTAAGGAAATACATTCTTCCATCACCATTTCTGCTTGTGAGATGCATAACCACATTTAAAAATGATTGAGGAAAAAGCAAAGAAAAGAAGTCTTCACATGAAAAATCATATAGTCACACACGAGATCAACAACACCAAGGCATAAATCAGTTTGCTCAGATGGAAATAAAAATGAGTACAGGCTAAAATGAAAGAGACAAATTCAGGGTGGAAGCATATGATATTAGATCAAGATGATTTCAATTTGAATTGGAGAAGTGTTCCTCTGCTTATAGAAAAATTGTAAATTTATTTGGTTTCTTGACAAAGCTTGACTGGGGCTTCCAAAGTCAGGGAACCTTTAGTAAGGCCTACAGGATGCTTTTGTGTGAAATGGCTTTTTCCTTAGGATGTAAATATTTCATGCTCTTCATAGATAATGCAGATGGATGAAATGGCTCTAAGATAACACATAGCATTTTGAGGACGTTTCGAAGACAATACAGAATTGACTGAGGTTTTTCCAGAGGTTGCTCTGTTTTTCTGCCTTTATGTAACTCTGCCCGTTTCCAACTGTGAAGAAGAAAGAACTTTCTCCCAACTGTTTTTGATTACAAATAAATCCACCGTGCTGCAGTGACCATCAGTATAGCTTCTCTTCATAGAACAGTGAGGAATTTCTTCTGAGAAAATTATCATTTGATGGTCTCGTTTTGCATTTGCTGCTAAGACAAGCAGGAAAAGGAAGATGTAGCTGGTGAAATAACCAGAATAAAGCAAAATTGGGACAATACTGGAAGCTACTTAAAAAAAAATCACAGAACAATATGCAAACTTTCCAGTTCTATATTTCCAAAGAACTCTTCCTCAGGCAGTGCATAAAGAAGGAGAGGTTGAAGATGCCAGAATTTTGCTTTGTGGAGAACTTCTATTTTTATCTGATACGTTGATTAGCCAGTAAAGAATGTCCTGTCACTATGTCTAAGCTTCATTTAAATCAATTTATGAAACATGAAAAAGGTGACCATTTTCAGAACACTTAAACCTTTGACTTTTAGTTTTATGGTGAGCAATTTTAATGTTGTGCTCTGCTCATTCTGATGTAAATACAGATGTTTTTTAAGATGAGTGTATGCATATACAGTATTCTTAGCAGGAGAAAAAAGTACACAGCCAGGAGAGGCAATGAGAAGGAAGTGGTAGGGAGGGGACAAATATACTGCCTCCTGGATCTCTCAGAGTTTTAAGAAGGTCTTGAGTCAATAGGACAACTAGGCGCTATGGATAATGACATTGTTGTGTCATTTGCTTAGTAAGTTATGAAAAATACAGCAACAATTTGCTGTGAGATTTTGCTTATGCCTGGTAAGGTTGAGGGAAGTACAGGAAAGGAAAGACAATGGAAAAGGAGAAAGATTAATTAATGGAATGTCCTTGGAAGAACTATAGGTTATTGCTGAGGAGAGGTCAGCGTGGTGAGCACATGACTTTAGAGTTATCAGAAGTTGAATGTGACCTAAGAAACTTAGGAAACCAAGTTTAGACCTAAAGTTTGCCCTGATGCATTCTGGATCTTACAGATGGGTTTGACATTTATGTCACCTTGCCAGTATAAAGGTTGGACTTAGTGGAAGACTGTTCTTACAACAAGTTCTTGTTAAATCCCAGTTAGTTCTCATTAATGTCTTTCTATGTTAGAGCTATGCAAGGATTCTTGAGAGCTTGAGAGCTTATCTGCACAGCCTTGTTGTCCCATCATCTGAATGGACCAGAAAACATTTTTGGAGGACAGGAGTGGAGGACATCACTCTGTATTCACCCCCCCTAACTGCAATTGGGTACATTTTTCTTCTGGGTACATTTTTCTGCTGTGGTTTTTAAGTACTTTTTCCCTGCATATGTCACTTCAAGCGTGCCTGTTCATTTTGGCTGACGTGCTTTACTTTGTGGAAGTCTAACCACAACAGTTCTGACTACTTCCTAAAAAAAAGGATGCTCCCTCAACTGAGACAATGCTTTCCCTGGTCTCTAATGTCTTCTAGAGCTACCTTTACTAGCAATGCTATAATAGTATGATGGTTATAACACTTGGTTTGTAAATAGAAGGTTGCTGGTCTGAAACCTAGGAGAAACTTAAAAAAAAAACTACATTTTTTCCCCCTTGTGGTATATACTTTTCCCTGGGATTTAAGGACATTCTTTTAAGGATATTCTGAAAACAAACAAAAAATGGAGGACAATGTAGCATCTACAGCATTTTCAGGAAATAAAATGATGACTGCCTGGCTGTAAAAATCAACTCTGCTTCCTGCCCTTTCATACACATTGAAAAAAAAATATGAAAGCAAGTTGTCAATGAGTGGGCAACCCTAGGGAATAAATAAACAAATAAGCAAGCAAATAGATAAATATTTCCACTGCGAATAATGAAAATACACAGATATGAACAAGTGAATATTGAAAGGTGTTAAGATTTTAATAACGAAACCCAATTGAATAATGAAATGAACAAATATTTCTCGCACATTCCTACTTGTTAGGCCACCCTTCCCCAGTTTCTGGTGCTCTGCATAAATATTAGCAATACAGCTCCCAGAAGTCTATATCACCATGATCACATTGGTGGAGAATCATAGGAACTATTGTTTCAACACATTGCAGAGGCATCAGATTGTAGAAGGCTGATCTAGTCTAAGACCAAGCCCTGTATTTACCTCTGGTATGAGTTTTGGATGTTAGAATGCTATTAGAAGAAACACAAAGAATTTACCTTTGCATGTATGACCTCAGCAGTGTGATGCCCAGGAGGAAGTACATCATAATGGAGCACACCATCATGGCCAGTCCCAGCAGTATGGCCCGGTCCTCTCCTGCTTTGAGAGCGGTGACTGTTTTCCTTTTGTCCAGTAGATCATGATCCCTGATTTTTTGGTAAATATTTCTGAGGTTGAAAACAATACATTCTTATGTGGAGTTCACACTTAATCAATAAACCCTCTAAAAGGACGGTCTGTTCCATTCCAGGGCCTGCCTCATGGGAGACCACAGCTTTAAGATTACTGCATTCGATGTTTTCTAAACATTTTGCTTGGACCTGGTAGGAAAAAAAATCACTGACATCCAAAACACACAAAGCCTTTTGTTGGTGGAATGGTTTCAAGGTGCTTTCTTTTCTTGCCTCTGTTCTTCAGCTTTGAAGAAGGAGCTTTGCAAAAGATGAAATGAATCTTTGACAACCTTAAATCATTCACACCAGGGGAATTCTTGGAATCCCCAGAAATATGTGTGATGTGACTGAAGAAAGAATAGTCCAAGATGCCCTGTGGTATCTCCTGCTTTATTTCCTGGTGGCATCACTGCAATTTAGAGAACTTAGGGCTGCCCTTGAAAATAGTCTCAACACTTAACTGACCAGAAAGGACAATAGGCTGATTAGGCATATAGACCCACTAATTGTATTCTTCCCTGTGAAAGGTAAGATCTATTATAGTTCTACTTATTTCTAAAATTCTACATTTGAGTTCTAAAGTGATTACTTTTGTACAGTCTTTATATTTTATAGTATTATAATATTTATTATAGTATGTATCAGTAGTATACAGTATTTTATAGTCTTTCCATCTGCATTCATGCATTTAATGTAATACACACATCCTTTTTTGTTTTCATTTTTCAGAGGTGTTTCCTCACTTTGCTGGCCATCGTTAATCTGATCAGTTGATCAACTTCATTGGTGCCAATCTCTTTCTAGGTTCACTTCATGGCGTTCTGGATTTTTGTTAAGCTAAAAATGGTGGTCTGGAATCAGAAGAACCAGATTTTTCCATGCACAATTGTTAGGAGTTGTCTACTTGTCCTTTAAGACCCTCCCTCCTGTCCCCTAAAGAAAATTCTGATATCAGTTTCCAGACAGTAGAATAGTCTCCTAAGAGAGGTACAACTGCTCAGTTTGCTGCCCACTTTTGGATGAACTTTAAAAAAGGTTTAATTTCACCAATTTGTTTTTAGCTGTAGCATTTTATTTTTAAACAAACCATTCTTGTCTGTGTGGTGTGATTTGTTTTAGTATTTATTGTGAGTCATCCTTGAATGTATCAAGATACAGGAAGGCAGGATATTTTATTTTATTTATTAAAAAGCATGTATCCTGCATTTTAATTATGTCCTTGGTAGTACCTTGTTTAGAGTGTTCTAATGTGTTCAGTCAAATCAGCCATCAACAGACACATTTACACATCATTCAAATGAGACAATAAAAAAACCTAGGAAGGAAACAAAAAGACTAGAACACATCCCCCCACTCCAGCAGCCAACATTCAGATAAGCAGAGATTAGCACTAGACAAACAATCACACACAAAACAATACCTTATTCAAGGAACCTCCAAGGAGAAAACCACATACCCACCAAAAGTGGCAGGGGAAGCTACTATATATAAATAGGAAGCAAACCCCACACTCATTCACATGGATGATGTTACCTAGTTGGGTAATGAAATGTCTGCAAGCAAACAACCAACCTCAGAGAGCACCAAGAACTCCACAGTTCAACCCTGAGCTCCAGATGTTCTCTTCTACTGCTATCTATCTGTCTATCTGTCTACAATCCCATCACAAAATGGACAAATGAGTTATGTGGAAACAGACTGAGAAATCCCACATTCAAACCAAATATTTTTTAGAGTGCTTAAAGGCAGGACTTGAGCAGACATGTATTTTTTGCTCCATATACTGTACTCCAGTGAGTTTTGGAAGTATATTTTCCCATCACCAAATATTGCAGAGATTAGCAACTTCGGAGGAGTCGGGAGGGACACATTTGGAATTTTGAGAAGGTGGGAAACTTGTATATTTACAAAATAGTTCCCGTGGTGAGCCTGGCTAGTCATCAAACATCCATTTACAGGAAGGGTAACTGGCCCTCCCAGGATGTGCTGCAAATAACTAGAATGTCAAACGACAGTCCTTGCTTTGCAGCAGGTTAGCTAACTATGTTTTAAAATTCATGTGTGTGTATAGGAAAGGAGCAGGGTGAAAGGGGTGTTAAGGCATCACATTGCCTACTCAGTTGGATCACTCAACTTGGGTTTTGTACTAAGACACAGATGCATATGACTGGAACAAGGTGGAACAAATAAGGGGCTTGTAATGCATGTGGGAATGACCTTGGAGACAGGAGGGAGAGCCACAGACTGGACAACCAGCATGTAGAAGATGTGTCAGCCCACAGAAGGAGGGAGGGCATGGGAAACATTTCAGAAGGGACCCTCCCTAATTTTCTGGAGAGTAAAAGGAAAGGAGGGGACAAATACTTTCAGTCTTGTAAGATTCTGTTCATGTAACTTTACAATAAAGATAGAGCTAGTGTTCATTGTTGTGCTTCTTGTCTGGACTACCTGGCAGGGCTAATAGGGCTGAGGACAAAAGCAGCAACTACTCAAGGGGTGTGTGGAATGAGCCCTAATGTCTCTTTCCTTCACTAATGGAAGCCATTAAAATGCAGTGGAGTAGATACTGGGCAGGGGGGAAATGCATGCTATCATGAGAAGACATGGAGTGCTTAAGTATATATGTTAGGGAGAGAAAGGGAGGATGACACACAAATGGTGTTTTGGGCAGGATCCCCATGTTATTGTAAAGGTGTAACTCTGTTATTATTCAAAGACGCTTCTTCTGAAGAATTGTTTCATGCTCAAAATACCCTGGTCGTATTTCGAAACAATCCTTTCTCTACACCAGTGTTTCTCAACCTTGGCAGCTTGGAGATGTGTGTACTTCAACTCCCAGAATTCCCTAGCCAGCATGCGGGCTGGGGAATTCTGGGAGTTGAAGTTCA